AAAACGATTTATTGTTCATCAACCCAAGAAAAAAATTTGTATTGTTCGAAAATTATAAAATCTTTCAAAAAAATAATTTACCCATTTTAACTCAAACACAATCTTCAGTTCAGAAAGATGAGAAAGTCACGGTTGGAGATGAGGAGGAAGATAAGATAATGGGGGAGAATATTTGTTTTAACAGTCGAATTTTGGATTTTCTAAGGAAGAAGAAGAAGAAGAGAAGAGAGAACGTTGAGAGAAGAATAGAAAATTGTATTTTCTTTTACTTTTTTTTAAAATGGTTTGAATAGAATTATAAAACTTGAAAAATGAAGTATTTTTTTGTATTTTATAAAAGATTAGAAAGTTTTGAAAATGTTAATTTGATTCCGAATTTACTTAATTACATTTTAAAATAAATTTGACCCTTTCTTAATCAAAGTGTCACCAAAAACCAAAGCAAAGAGTTAGGGTGTGTTTGGTATGAAGGAAAATATTTTCCATGTAAAATGTTTTCCTAGAAAATGTTTTCCTGGAAAACAAGTTGATTTTGAATTATTTTCTCATGTTTGGTTGGTGAGTAGAAAATATTTTTCGAAAATTTTTTTTAGTGTTTGATTTATGAATGAAAAATATTTTTGAGAAATATCTTTTATTTTTACTAGAGTAGAAAATAATTTTTGAAATTGAAAATAGTTTTTAAAAACAAACTTAAATTTTTTTTGGGGGTGGGGGGTGGTAGGGGGTGGGTGAAGGGGGGGGGTCGAGGGTAGGGGTGAAAAATTGAAATTTTGAAGTTGAAAATATTTTTGAAAAACAAACTTAAAATTTTTTATTTTTTATTTTTTGGGGGGGGGGGCTGGTAGGGGGGTGGGTGGGTGGGGGTCGAGGGTAGGGGTGAAAAAATGAAATTTTGAAATTGAAAATATTTTTTAAAAACAAACTTGAACTTTTTTATTTTTTTTTGGGGAGGGGGGGTGGGGGGCTGGTAGAGGGTGGGTGGGGGTTCTAGGGGTGAAAAAATGAAATTTTAAAATTAAAAATATTTTTTTTAAAAAAACTTAAATTTTTTGTGGGGGATAGGGGGGCTGGTGGGGGTGGGTGGGTGCGGGGGTGGGTAGGAGGTGCGTGGGGGGTGGGGGTCAAAGGTAGGATGAAAAATTGAAATTTTGAAGTTGAGAATATTTTTTAAAAACAAACTTAAATTATTTTTTTTTTTGGGGGGGGGGGGGGAGAGGTGTTAGGGGTGGGTGGGTGGGGGGTCGAGGGTAGGGTGAAAAAATGAAATTTTAAATTTGTAAATATTTTTTAAAAATAAACTCAATTTTTTTTTGGGGGTGGGGGTGGGGGAGGGGGTGACCGGAGAGAGGGGTGGGTGATCGAGGATCGAGATGAAAAAATAAAAATTGGAATTTGAAAATATTTTTCAAAAACAAACTTAAATTTTTTTCTTTTTGAAGGGGGTTGGGGGCTGATAGGGGGGTTGATGGGGGGAGGGTAGTGGGTAGGGGGTAAAATAATAAAAAATTGAAATTAGAAATATCTTTTAAAAACAATTTTTAATATTTTTTGGGAGGGGGTGGGGGTAGGGGTGAGGGTGGGATAAAAAAATTGAATTTAAAAACAAGTTTTGGGTAAAAAAAATTAAATTTAAAAACAAACTTTAAAATTTTAATTTTTTTTTTTTCTGGGGGAGGGTTGGTTGGGGGTGGTTTGAGGGTAGGGACAAAATAAATTAATTTTTGCAACAAAAAAATAATTGTAATTTGAAGTTGGAAGAGAGTTTTGGAAAATGTTTTCCTTAAGTTTAGAAGGGAAGTCATTTTCCTTAAATTTGAAAAAAATTAGTTGATTTAGAAAACATTTAGCCCAACCAAACATGAGAAAATTGGAAAACATTTTCCGGAAAATATTTTCCTTCATACCAAACACACCCTTAATTGACACCTTTCGTTTACTTGTGACAGCTCACTGCGCGCGTCGTCTCTTTGATTTAGCTCAGCAGGCGTCGTCTCTTCGATTTGGCTCAGCAGCCGTCTTCTCTTCGATTTGGCTTAGCAGGCGTGTCTCTTCGAGTTCATTAGAGGTTATTGCCATCGTCTTAGAAAGGTAATGTAAACACTTTTTAGGGTTTTAATTGCAATAATTTTGAGTGGGTAAGGTTTTAGTTTCAATTCTATTGAGGTACTGTAAATCGTTTGGAAGAGGTAAGGTAAACACTCTCCCTCTCTAGGATTTCAATTTGGTACTGTAAACTCTCCCCTGGTTTCAATTTTGTTGAGGTAGTGTATATTATTGTTGCATCGGTATTTCTCGCTTTCTATGATTTGCTAATTCCAACTTAAAGTTATGCTTTCTTGCGTTTAATTTTGCCCTAGGTTTTTTTGAATTAGAATTTTTTTCAAAAATGCATTTATTAGTTGCTGTAAATATGAAAGTTTTCCTAATCATTAGGTATTTTCTTGTGTTTATTGTTGTTGCTCTTTGCTGTTATTACTGTGATAGTTGACTTCTATTCTCATGCATCAATTCTAAGTTTGTAATCTAATAATTAGATTAAATGTTGTGAACAAATGCTGCAGTTTATTTAAATGAGTCTACGTCTCTTTAAATGATTTGGTTTTCTGTATGGTTGATTGTGTGATTTAAACAGAGCTAGGTTTGGATATAGTTGGATTTGGAGCTGAAGTGTTAGAATTTGATCATTGCGACTTTCTGATACGCTAATTGTTCAATTCTAGTATGTTTTAACGTTGTTTTTGTGTATTTATGGAGTTTTACTGTTTGTACAAGTTTATGTAGTATTATTTGAGTTGCATTGAGTTGTTTATTACTATGATTTGGTTTACTGTATGGTTTATTGTGTGATTTCAACAAAGCTAGATGTAGTAGTAGACTGAATTTGAAGCTGTAGTTTTAGAATTTTATCATGTTGGTAAAACACTTCATATCAAATACAACTCACTCAGTTTGCTTGCTTTTGGTCTTATTATGTGACATGTGCATAAACTAAAGATTATTGAAAAGATCTGATTTTCTGTACTTCTAATGATAAAAAGCAAGCGTGTCAAATAAAATAAGAGTTCTGTGCTGTAGAAATTGGTGGCTAACCTTATCTCTGAGGTTCCAGTTCAAATAAAATAAGAGCTTGAATCTCTGAGGTTCCAGTTCCAGGGTTGCTGTACCATGATCCAACCTTCTCCTGGAACACAGGAAGGAAGAGAAAAGAGAAGGACACAGAGTATAATAGATCCAACAAAACAAGCAAAATGGATGTCATTAAAAGGCTAAAGAAAAAGAATAATACTAACATTGTCTTCATCTTCAGTTTTGTTGTCATCATTTGTTTTCTCCTCTTCTTCATCAAGCTCTGCATAGGGGTTTACATAAACTTCTACGCTTATTATCTTGGTTTCTTCCTGCACAGACAGTAAAAGCAGAAGGTTCAAAAAATATCTAGCTAAAGAAATGAAAATACTGGATGTGCAGAGAAAAAACACTAAGATTTTCAAGTTTGGGCTCTGTCCAAGGGACAGAAATGAAGATAAATGGAGGACTGAACGAAAATAGCCAGACAAATGAACAAATAAATGATATCTGAAATGTAACCTCAGAGATTCAACCTCAGTACTCCATTATATAAAAGAGAAATGTAACGTAGAAATTGGTGGCTAACCTTTATCCATAACTTCTTGATTCTAAGGCGAGAGAATCTTGTCTAGCATAATTAGTTGGTTACTTGCTGTAGAAATCATTTTAGAGATGGCTTTCTGTGCGTCTAGTTTTGTGCTTCTCAGTAGGGCCTGCTTGGATAGGATTGATCTGACTTAATGCTTGCTAATATTGGAGAGTGCAATGTAACTAGGATACATAACTTTTATATCAATTTTGTGGAAACACTGGACAAATGCTTCAGAAGTGTAGCAAGTTTAATATAGTATTGAATTATAACAAGGTGGAGTATTGCACATTTAGTTGGTTACTGCAGGCTGTTGAAATCTCTTTAAAGGTGGCTTTATGTGTGTCCAGTTTTGTGCTTATCTGCAGGGCCTGCTTTGATAGGATTGATCTGAGTTCAGACCATGAGCTTGCTAGTATTACAGAGTGTAATGTAATTAGGATAAGCAACTTTTAGTTCAATTTTTGTGGAAACACTGGACAAATGCTTCAAAAATCACTAGAGATAGAGGCTTGGTGGAATTTTGTTGCCTTCTTAAGTGTAATGTAATCATTTTTTTTACTAAAATGCAAGTTTATTTTATCATGTGTTTGGTTAGAGGTATTAGTTAGTCTCGAGAAGCAAACAAGTTCACTTAGACTACTACTCAGAGAAATGAGATTGATTTTTTGATTAGTTAGAAGAATATTGTCAACTGGTCTAATGATCATTGTAGTCTTGATCCGTTTATTAGTTATCTATTTAGTTGCATCACTACCCTTGCAATGATAGAGCTATCTGTAAGTTCATACATGAATAATATTTCATTAGGATCAGATAAGTATGTATAGTTATAACCATTCCAAGATGTGTCACGAGATGGTGCATTAGGAAAGACTCGGCCATTCCATGGTCCTGCTCTGTAGAGTTCAATGGAACCATTCATAATGAATGTTTGCAGGAATCCACCAGTATCGAATGTCCAGTTAAACTCACCTCTGGAAGGATTATTTGTGCTCTTCCATGACGAAAGGGAATGATGAAAACTAGTTTTCAGATTAATCCCAACCTTCATTCCAGGTAAAGCTGTGTCACCTGGATTGTCAAAACTTTGCCACAGGTAGTTCTGAGGCTTATCCTCGGCCGCATCTCGAACAACAAGATTGCCTGAATCAAGGAGTTGTGCTACTGGGTTTTGCCCATGTCTAGTGGAATCGGAGGACCAAATTACTCTGCCAGAACCATTTAGAAGAGTAAGAATTCCTTGTCTGGTAAAATTTAGCGCACTGGATGTGTCATTGAGTGGGTTTTCTCTATTACAGGTTAGAACTTGAGACTAAATGAGTTATACGAAGATTTTAGTACTACAACAACTACTACGTCTCAATCCCAAGCAAGTTGTAGTAGGTGGACGGCTAGCTAAAACTAGTCATTTTATGATGAATCCTCGGAATACTCATATAAAGATGTTAATTCACTAAAATGTACCTGGGAGGAGCTGATTGTAACCGTTGTGACCAGCATGAAGTCTTGCCAACACACCGATCAACGGAGCATTGTTGTAAGTGGCAGGCTCAGTTTGCTCATAGTTGTCTCTTTGATCAGCGAAGTTGTCATAGGCATCAGGTCCACCAATAAGAGCACCAGTAAGGAGATTAGGATCGCTCGCCTTTCTACTATACCAGGTAGCATAGCCTCCCCGGCAGCTAACAAAACTAGGATTAACCTTAAACGAGACAATGGAGGAAGCTCTGTGGTGTACTTGTCTTGGGTTATTGTTTCCATATCCCACCATGTAACTTGTTGCTCTCGGGTTGTCACCAAGATTGTAGTCCACCTAGAACAACATCAAACATGATGATTAGTTCACCAAGAACACATTGCTAGTTCCATGCTTCAATTTATGATGAATCGTCATAATACAGACTTGTAGCACTCTATCAAAGTTAAAATCTTTACCTGAGACTTAGCGAATGAGAGAAGCTCATTCGGAGAAACAGAACCAGAAGAACACTTGAGGTATTGCCAGCAGAGGCCAAATAGTCAGAATAAGTAGTGGCAAGGAATGCAGCACTAGTAACAAACTACATATTGTTCCATCTTTGCCTATAGATGAGACCTCCAGGAGTTTTCTGGGTATTTCTGTCACCCTTTGCAAGATATGAACACATAAAGTTCTTTGCTTTCTTCTGGTACTTCTCAAATACAGGTGCATTATGACCAGCTTTACCAGACATCAAGAACTGCCAACACATAATACCAATTAGTTTATCTTCACGGAGTGATCGGTGTCAACTAAGTTGCTTAGACTCTTCAAAAATGTCGTCAGGTGTCAACTAAGTTGCTCAGACCTTTACATCAGTATTGTTATTATCTTCACCCCTTTACCAGGGGCCTCTTTCAACATAGGAACATTATATTGTTAACTTCAGATGGCTCTTGGATAATGATGCCTTTGTTGGGATTATTGTGATTGATGGGTTGTTTTTGGATCTCACTGTGACCATTGTTAGACTGCTTCTGTATATCAGTTTGTTCAGTGCTTGTATGTTCTTGAATTTCAGAAAATCTATTGGTATTATGACCACTATCTAATCCATTCTGTTGATCAAGGTTCATTTTCCTCTCCTTAAAACCTCGTTTCTTGTTAACAGTTTGAAAACCATCATCATCTTTTTTGCTTTCTTTTTCTTTCCTGCTTTGTTTTTCTTTTTGAGCTTTAATTCTCTCATCTGTAGCCTTGTTTCTGCACTCACTTTCAAAATGACCTTGCAATTTACAGTACAAACAATAGCTAGGCAGTCGCTCATGTTTGATCTTGTCTTACTTAACTATGTATTATGTCTTAAAGAAATGGGGTTATTGGTTATTTAACGTTTATTTCAGGTTGGATTTCAAAGAGGCTTGGACGGATGGCGTCAAACACAACCTACTTCTGAGGGTGGTTCCACAACCCAACTAACATCTGATGATATTACTTCAATATGGACAAATGTGGCAGGAGGTGTGAAGAAAGGCAGAGCTTAGACATGTAGACTTGTTTTAAACTATTTACTTCCATTTTGAATAACAACTGAATACTTATTAGATTTGATTTTGATGATGCTTGAACTTTTAGACTCCATTGTGAATCTGTGAATCAAGTGGAATTTGAATGTTTAGGAATGTATTCGATGTTTGGTTTTATTGTTACATTGAATTTTTATGGATGGTAGTATAATTTAGCAAGCGGCGTACCAAAATAAGCAACATTTTTCTATATATTAAAAATATAGCTTTCTTATAGAATTTTGTTTAGAAAATTAAAAATGCCGACTACAATAGTCGGAAGATCCCCTAAATAGTTAATAAATTAATTATTTATACCGACTATAATAGTCGGAAGAGTACTTGAATGATTAATAAATGCCAACCACAGTGATTGAAATATATATAATTAATTATTTAACTATTACGACAACCGTAGTTGGCATTCTTAAATTAATAAATTATTATTTAACAAGTATTCCGACTACAGTAGTCGGTAGTATTTAAATTAATAAAATATTATTTTATAGTGTTCCGACTATAGTAGTCGGCAGTTCAGTTACTTTAATAGTCGGGTTTTAATTTATATATTGTGACTATGGTAATCGGCAAATTTCGACTTCTGTAGTCGGCAAGTATATTTCGACGTTCAATCTGCCGACTACTCAAAAGTAGTTGGAAGTAGTCGGAAATCATCGGCAAACTCCATTTTCCGACTACATTCGGACCAATTTTGCAGTCGGCAAACGACGAAATTCTAGTAGTGTTTTTAGTTTTGAGATTGTTACATGTGTTAGTTATGTGTTGTTATGGTGGATTTATCTTTGACATGACAATTCATGTGAGAGTGTATTACAGGTGTGTTTCTCAAACTGTGATAGTTTGATGTATTTCTCACACTTCAAATAGTTTAGGTGTGAAAAACGCAGATAGGCTTAGGTGTGTTTTAGCTCTTCACTCTATTGAAGGAATGTGTTCTAATGATGGAGCTTTGGATCATCAACTAATCTGGAATTGTTCGAATTGTACGATATTGTTGAGTTGTTATATCTTAGAGGGGACAAGTCAAGAGTTATATTGCTGAATTGATGTAGTTTTACCATTGTGGGTTTCAATCTCCTTAAAGAGAGTGAGATATAAATATCTCAGCCTGAATATTTTTTATTCATTTTGGTACTTTCTTTTTCAATTGTAATTTACTACAATTTATTGTATATATGCACCAACATATACAAATGTTAACGTCAGCTGATCTTTTATAAATCTTTGATTAAGTGGCCTTTATACAACATAACATACTCAATGTAGTTCTGTAGGCGGGACAAAATATGCACATGCTTTATCATATCTTTGTGGGTAAAGATTGTTTCCAATTGACACTCCACTCAAACGAGAAGTTTTTTAAAGTAAAGAATAATATGATAGCAAAATAGCATGATACAAAACAAATAAAACAATAGATAGTTGGAGAATAAGAAACTGAGTGATAATACTAACTACTACTACTAGGAGGGGAGGGGATGATGCTATGACCTTGTCTCTCCCACATATAGTGCGACAATACTCGATTATGTACTAATATCTACTCTAATTTCTCGACTTTCATCCTTTTCTATATATCTAGTGTTATGTTCTTAGCTTATGTTCTTAGCAAGCTGTAGTTGAGCCATGTCTAATTAAATCACCTCTCTTCAATTCTTTTTCGGCCTACTTCTACCTCTTCTACTTCATGTTGTGGAGTTTCTTATTAGAGCATTCGTGCACCTCCTCTTTACATGTCCGAATCATCTCAGTTTTACTTTTTTTCATCTTGTTTGCCACGAGAGTCATTCTCACTTTGTCCCATATAACTTTGTTTCTAATTGTATCTCTCCTAATATGTCCTCATATTCACTACATATTCTTCTTCTGAACGTAGACATTCTTTATATATATATATATTGTGATTTGTCGATATTTCTACTTTATTATGTACACGAGTGATCTTCAAAAAGCCATGTTTCTTTTATCGCTAGGTGCGGTACTTTGATGGTGATAAGGCCTACCATTATATAATAACATTATATATTAATGATTAAGTGCTAAATTAGCTAAAAGGTAGCAAATAAATCTATTTCATAGTGGCGGCTTAGATCATTCGTTGCCGAAATACTATCAAATCTTTTTTCATTTGTCTGTTTTAACCTAAACTTATATTAGTAAAATATCACAAGTTAAAATTCTATCCTAGCCAATTGATTTTTAACACAAAATAATAAAATATTCCATCGGCATATCTTGAAAGATTGTGTTTCCCATGGGTTGAAAATCGAATTATCAGATCGAATCAAACTTTTTGCTAATTTGATATTTGGGAGTAAGAATTACAATTAGGGTTGGATATAAAATATCAAAAGTCGAATTATCGAATCAATTTTTTTTTTTTGATAATTCAGCATTTGGTATGGTATTCAAAAGTAAATTTTTAGGATTACGGTATTTGTGTTTGAGTTTGGTATAAGAAATTAGAATCATTCGGTATTTGATATTTTTCGAATACTGAATTATTTATTTAATGAAACATATATCAATAAGTTCATAACTCACTAAGTACAAGTTCCAAGAGAAAGTTAAATGAAATTCAAGAGTGCGGGGGGGGGGGGGGGTGAATTAAGATTCCTTCAGTTGACTTTCTGTGAGAAGTAGTCGACTCACCTGCAAGTTAGTTACACAGTATAAAACAAGATAAGATACTGAAAGTAAAATGACACAAGATATTTTATACTGGTTCGGATGACCGATGTGGTGCCTAGTCCAGTCCCCTTGGGTTTCAAGGGTTTCCTTTAGAGCTTGTTGCGAACTTGTTTGTATAGGAGGTGTGATCTTCAAGTCCTGTCTGATATGCAAATCAGAGTTTCTATGTTGACACTGCCTCTACTTGTATAACCTACACTCAGAATCTTTCCTTCTCTTTTTCTTTTACAATTGTTCACTCACGTGTACAAAGCTTTATGAAAGATGAAAGAGGATTACAATTATAAGTTCAAGTGAAGTTGCGGATTTTTGTCGTCAGTCCAGTTCTTCATTTATAGGCTGAGTGTTGAGGTGATTTTTGCTCTAATAGGAAAACCCAAGGGAGTTTCCTTCAATCAAGGATTTGTAATGATTCCTTGATTGAGACATTGATTTGAGATACCAATTTTGGTTCTGCCTTGAATCAGAAATTGGTGGAGACTTGTGCAATATTCCTTCGACTCCCAGTGATCTTCAGTGATCAGTGAGTTGATCCTTTGTTGATGTTCCTTTCCATCTTGAGTTGCTGTCTATTTCGTTTTTCCCTTTTTGGCTCCTAGTGATTTGTAATCTGATTGTCTCAAATTGATTTGCTTTGTCATCTTGATTGTCATTTCCTTTTTGGCTTCTGATAAAGGATATCTGATTGATGTAGTATCCATTTATCCTCCTTTGATGAAGGCTGTATGATCTCCAGATCTTCTGCTTGAATCCCTCTGTTGATTTATCTTATTGCCTTCTTTTGTAGACATCCACAGATTTTGCTTTCCTTGATTTCCTGTCATTATTCAAAATACATTAAGTTAACAATCTCCCCCTTTTTGATAATGACAACTTTATCAGTAGGCTTTTAATTTTACTTCCCTATTTTGGTAGGTATACGTCTCCCCCTGAATGTGTGCTCCCCCTTGCTTTCTGCGATGTTGGTGTAAGTCAAGTATGTCTCCCCCTTTGGCATAATCAAAAAGGAAAACAAGGCATAAAAGAGATACAGGCAGAGAACTCCATACAAAAGAAAATGTACAGAGAACGAGTGTTGGGGTAGGCACCCCAATAATACAGTCCAAAAGCATAAGAAAGAGGAGTTAAGGCTCCACAAACATAGTCTTAACAAAACATAGCAAAAATCACTGACTAACGACCACGACCAAGGAAGTACTTGAGAGTGTTGAGCACATTCCTGCAGAAAGAGTCATAAGTGCGCTCAACATTCTTGGAGAAGTTGGAGTAAGAAGTGTGCACTGTCGCATCTAGCTCATTGTGGGCTGAGTCAGCTCCAGTCTTAATGGAGTTAACTTCTTTGAGAATGGTGTTTACAGAGCGAATAGCCTGCTTTTTAAGTCCTTCGACTTCTAGACGAAGTTTGCCAACATCAGTGCTGGAATCCTTGTGCAATTGAAGAACTTTCCCAATAGTGTCATGTAGTACCTGCATGTGAGAC